TTGGGGTGCCTTCCCCTGTCACGAACAGAGTAGGGCGGATAGGGAGGTTGTGGCCCCGCCCCCTGTCACACACAGAGCTGCAGGGCGATCAGGGGGTTTGGGCGCTGCCCCCTGTCACGCTGATCCGGTGCCAAGAGGCCTCTCGGCTCCGCTGATCCCGGTGCTGGGAGGCATATTACCCTTTTACTATATAGGATAGAGGCCTTGGGGCCGGCTGGTTTGCCCTGAAGGGTGTCCTGGATCAGGGTGGGGGTGCCCACTGGGGTGCCTGGCCAGTCTGGGTGAGGGGCTGAGGGCTGCTTTCAGGCTGGCGGTTGTTGACTGAAGCTTCCAACCGCTCCTTTTTTTTCTCTTTTTTTAATTTTATTCTGGGCCAGCTTTAGCTCTGGCTCTAGCTCTGAGGCTTCCGCTGCTGAAAGAAGGTATCTGGTTTGTTTCGGTTCTATAATCGAAACAATGTATAACTCCAGCTCTGAGATCCCGGCCTTCTTTCTGGGGTTTTGTTTATTTTCTATATTTGTTAGAATGTTTCAAACTGCCAGCTCAGAGGCTGGCAAGTCAGGCAGGGAACTTGGAGTCTGCAGTCACTGAAGCAAGCAACCTCATGTTCGCTTCCAGCTGCCTGGCTGCCGGCCGCCATCTTGGCTGACAGTTAATTTGCATAAGGATACGCTGATTAGCCAATGGGAAGGGTAGCGGTCGTACGCCAATTACCATGTTTCTCTTTTATTAGTGTAGATTTATTTTAGAGAGAAACATCGATTTGTTTTTCCACTTATTTATATTTATGCATTTATCAACCACAACCTTGGTGTATCAGGATAATGTATAACCAACTGACCTATCCGGCCAGAGCCTATCTTTATTTCCTTAATGTAAAAGTCACATGTAGGAAAACTAGAATGTTTGTGTAAAGAAACAACAATGTAGCCCAAATCTTACTAAATGCAGTTAGCAGTTTAGCATATTTCTACTATAAGCTTGTCTAGTATCATTATAGCTTTCTTCCTTTCTCTTCAGGAGGAAATCTCTGAAATCAAAGCAGAGGGAAACCTGGAAGCTGTCCTGACTGCCTTGGATACAATTGTGGAAGAAGGCAAAGACCGAAAGGAGCCAGCCTGGTGAGGAGGACCACGGGGGGCTCACAGAGAAAGGGGCAGCACCTCAGCATCTTGAAGGAGCTTTTTTATTGTTCTTAATCCTCATCCGAGGATATTTTTTCCATTGATTTTTTACAGAGAGGAAGGAAGAGTGAGAAACATCGATAAGAGAAACTTCGATCAGCTGCCTCCTGCACACCCCCTACTGGGGATGTGCCCGTAACCAAGGTACATGCCCTTGACCAGAATCAAACCTGGGACCCTTCAGTCCACAGGCCAAACCAGTTAGGGTTCCATTGATTTTGAGAGAGAATGGGAGGGAAGGAGGGAGAGGGAGAGAAACATTGATGTGAGAGAGACACAATGATTGATTGCCTCCCGCATGCACTGGAATCGAACCCATGACCCTTATGTGCCCAGGCTGACGCTTAGCCATTGAGCAACATCAGCCAGGGCTAGAGGGAGCTTTTATGATGGACCCATAGGTATGAGACTCTGGGCTCACGAGAGAGGACCCTGTGACAGGGACAGGTGGAGAGGACAGACACCAAACAAGAACCCCCCCCCCCATCAGTGAAAAGTATAGCCCCCTCTGGGGAAGAGAGTCCAAGGGCAAGTACATGCTGTCTAGGGGTTTGAGGCGGCTGAGGGAAACCTTCCTGGGGAGCTCATTTCGGAATCTGTCTAGCCGTGAGAGAAAGGATGGGGGAGTGGAGGAGGCAGAATTATAGGTTTGGAATCTCTTCATTTGTTCATTCAACCAATTTTAGGGAACATGGACTGTACACCCAGTAGGTGCCAGAGATTCCACAATGAACAGGACACGAAAGACCTGGTTCTCCTGGAGCTGACATCTCAATGGGCAGCCCTGCTGCCTGGTGTCCTGTGCAGGATAGAGAAAGAAATTTAAAAAGAATCTATAGTGGCTTCCACCCCAGTGCCTATCAGAACTGACCCATCTCTTCATTCTGGCCTCCCAGCCCCAGCTTATCTTCCCTTGTTAGCGAATACCACAGCCTCTCCAGATCGGGGCCCTTTCTCAGGCAGCCACTCCGTCTGGGAGGGCTCATCCTGCACCACCATCCCCACATCTCCAGCTCAGTCTAGAGTGGGTGCACCATCGGGGCACATGGTCAGCAGCACAGAGGCAAAGGCTGAAAAGTCACCTCTACCTCTGGAGTGTTCGAGATGGGGGACTGTATGTGGGCAGGAGGAGAGTGTGGGGTACTGCTGGGAAGGCTAAGATACAGGGGGTGAGATGGGGGACTGTATGTGGGCGGGAGGCGAGTGTGGGGTACTGCTGGGAAGGCTAAGATACAGGGGGTGAGATGGGGGACTGTATGTGGGCGGGAGGCGAGTGTGGGGTACTGCTGGGAAGGCTAAGATACAGGGGGTGAGATGGGGGACTGTATGTGGGCGGGAGGCGAGTGTGGGGTACTGCTGGGAAGGCTAAGATACAGGGGGTGAGATGGGGGACTGTATGTGGGCGGGAGGCGAGTGTGGGGTACTGCTGGGAAGGCTAAGATACAGGGGGTGAGATGGGGGACTGTATGTGGGCGGGAGGCGAGTGTGGGGTACTGCTGGGAAGGCTAAGATACAGGGGGTGAGATGGGGGACTGTATGTGGGCGGGAGGCGAGTGTGGGGTACTGCTGGGAAGGCTAAGATACAGGGGGTGAGATGGGGGACTGTATGTGGGCGGGAGGCGAGTGTGGGGTACTGCTGGGAAGGCTAAGATACAGGGGGTGAGATGGGGGACTGTATGTGGGCGGGAGGAGAGTGTGGGGTACTGCTGGGAAGGCTAAGATACAGGTGGTGTGAGAAGGGGGAGGTAGATTCCTGGGCACCAAAGCTGAGGGACAGAAGGTTAGCGTTTCCATCAGGAGCAGCCATGCGACTGGGTCTTAGAAGGTGGGAAGGACCCCAGAAGAGACCTTAAAAGCCAGTCCACTTGGAGATGGGAACATCACTGATTAGAGCTGAAGTAGAGCCCTCATCCCACGTCCACCGCCTTCTTACGCTGTGCTCCTTGCCACTCTCCAGGCGCCCTAGTGGGATCCCAGAGAAAGACCTGCGCAGCACCATGGTGCCCTACTTCCTACAGCAGCGGGATGCCCTGCGGCGCCGGGTGCAGAGACAGGAGGCTGAGAATAGGCAGCTAGCAGATGCCGTCCTGGCCGGGCGCAGGCAGGTGGAAGAGCTGCAGCTGCAGGGCCAGGCTCAGTGGCAGGCTTGGCAGGTAAGTGCTTTGGCCCTGCCCTCAGGCACCTGTTCCCCTGCTGCAGCAGAGAAAACAAGACTGAGAGAGATCAGAGACGTGGGGGACACTTTGGGGCCCTTATTGGAGATGGACTCTGCTCCGGGGAGGCCCAGTCTAGGAGGCCAAAGCACCAGCCTGACATAAATGCCTGCTGAGTGTCGGGGGGAGGGACCTCCTTACATGCCCTGCGGGGCCCGGACCCACATGAGCCACAGACCCACATCATTATGGGGGAACCCAAGCCTGAAGGCAAGGACAGTCGATGGAAAGGATTTGGATTTTTTCCTCTCCCAATTTCCTTCTCTCCCATTGATGGCAGGCTCTGCACAGAGGACAGAAGGAGCTGGTGGCCATGCTGAGGGAGCCTGAGTAAGGGGGAGATGGCCGGCCCAGGAGCAGAAGGTGGTCAAGAGCCCTGTACAGCTGCAGTGTTGCCTAGTCCTGAGCAATGACGGAGTTTGCTGGGGGATGAGGTGTGAGCAGTCCCCACTGCCACTGTGCCTTGGGGAGCCCTCAAGTCACACACACTACCTTCTGATTCCTCCCTGTTTCCTTCTAACTTGAGGATTCTTGGCCAGATCCCAGCTGGGAGTCAGACACCATGCCGGCCAGCACCCCCCCACACACACACTCCTGCTACTTCCTTACCCCTCCCTAGGACCTGGCTTGGAAATCTGTTTTCAGTCTCCACTGATTGCCCCTTTGCTGGCCAGCTGAGGGCTGGTGCCATGTTCCCTCCACATCCGTAAATAAACGTCCTCCACTGCACTGTAATCTGTGCGGGTGCTTCCGCTGTCTGGGACACTTGTGGGCCAAGACCCCCTCTGGGGCTCCTGAGTTCTGACCCCTGGAGGCCTCAGCTGGAGTTCACCAAGAGCCTCCAGTCTCAGGTGGGTTGGCAGGGGGGCGTCTGACCTTCACATGCAGAGGGGCAGTGAAGCTCCTTATCACAGAACCAGGACCCTGGGTTCCTTGAGGCCAGGACAAGCTTTCAGAGTGTCACTGACCAACCCAGTCCACTCTCCCTAGGTTTGGGTTAATTCTGAGAAAGGAACTGGTGCCTGAGGGTGGGCCAAAGCACTCACCGTGGGCCTCAGCGCTTGAGTCTGGTGAGAGCAGGCGGGCCTCCAAACAGCTGGACGCGTAGTCCTCGTTTCTCAGGCTTCGCTCACCCAGGGCCCGCAGAGCATCAGGAGGGGCTCAGCAAGGCAGGAGGGGTGCCTCCTCCAAACCAGGGGGGAAGGGGGGGTCTCACCCTAACTCTGGAGAGGCTGGGCTGGTCTGCCTAGGACAGTGATGGTGAACCTATGACACGTGTGTCAGAGGTGACACGCGAACTCATTTTTTTGGTTGATTTTTCTTTGTTAAATGGCATTTAAATCTATAAAATAAATATAAAAAATATAAGTCTTTGTTTTACTATGGTTGCAAATATCAAAAAATTTCTATATGTGACACGGCACCAGAGTTAAGTTAGGGTTTTTCAAAATGCTGACATGCCGAGCTCAAAAGGTCCGCCATCACTGGCCTAGGAGCACTGGGACACTCAGGAAGACATCAGGTGGCCCCTGCTTGCCACCCCTCAAATCAAGCACATGGCTCTTCTCTCCACCTGGAGCTGCAGCATTCAACCATCCAGTTGCCCCCCATCCCCTTCTACTCAGCCATAGGCCCGGGGGGGGGGGGCAGGGGCGGGCAGTGTGCTCTGTCAGGTGAGTGAGGTCACCCCCCCGCCTCCAGGTTGGGCTGAGACAGAAGCAGAGCTCAGGGCTGGGATGGGGGTTTTCATGAGGAGCCTGCAAGGGCAGGAAGAGAAGCAGAGGGTCAGGAGCCCAGTGCTCTCCATCTCCCTGCTCCTCAAAGGCCCTGTGAGGGCACAGGGAAGGGGGACCCTGCCACATGGACCCATCCTTAACCTCATGCCCAGCCCCTCCTGTGTTGGCTTTTGGCTCCTGGCCCTGTGCTACCTGACCATTCTCCTGTCCTGACCCACAGGGCCTGACCAGTCAAGCCACCCCCACACCAGGCCTGCCTTTGGCGTCTCGAAGGGTGAATGAGGCCATCACTGGGCACTCCCTCCCTGGGGTTTGGCTCCTGCCCACGGCTGACAGTGGAAATCACAATCGTCGAGAGCTGTAGCCAGTTCTGCTCCGATCTATTTTGGACCTCTGGGCCCCTTCCTCTCTGGGTCCCCCCACACCCTCCTGGCATGTTTAGCTGAGGTTGGGTTTAGAGAGAGTAGGGGCTGGGGGACCTCAGTGGCCCCCTTAGGGAAGGGCAGGGGGCATCCAGAGGCTGGCAGTCTCAGATTACCACCCACCCTCCTCCTCCACTCCAGGGGCCTGCCCAGGCTGCCCTGGTTCCAACCACAACATCCTTTGGGGTTTGGCCTATAGATCTGGGGCGGATGACCCCAAATAGCCCTGGCAGAGTCCCCTGCGACCCGCCCGCACTGTGATCGGGCGGCCCACCCTGGCCTCCGGGGCAGGACCCAGAGTATAAATGGTGCTGGAGGCTGGTGGAAACACCGGAGTCTGAGCAGACCAAAGCCACCGCAGAGACACCATGAGGCCCCGCATGCTCCTCACCCTGCTGGCCATGGCCGCACTCTGCCTCGCTAGCCAGACAGGTGAGTCCCCCACTCTGCCCCAGTGAGGAGGGGAGCACGCACTCCTCACCCCTCCACTGGCAGTGCAGTCCCTCTGGCTGTCTAACCCCCTCCTCCAAGAGGGTAGGCGCCATCCATTTGCCCTGCCTCTGTCCTTGTGGAAGGAGAGGGGAGAGCAAACTGCCAGAGGCAGGGGAGGAGGGGGCTTAGGGGTGAACTGGGGTCCTTTCTTCTGCAGATGCAAAGCCCAGTGGTGCAGAGTCTGACAGAGGAGCAGGTAGGAGGCAGGCCTGACAGGGGCTTTGTGCCACATCACCCAGCTGCCCAGCGGTCCCTCACCCTGGCCCCCTCAGTCCCATTTCCCCCCTCCTACTGGCTCCTCTCTGGCTGTTAAGAAGGCCAGCCTGCTCCCCATCTTATCCCCCCAAACACTCAGCCACCTGATCCCTGCCCCTCTGCTCCCACAGCCTTCGTGTCCAAGCAGGAGGGTAGTGAGGTGGTGAAGAGACTGCGGCGCTACCTGGATCCTGGGCTGGGGTGAGCAAAGGAGTCTGGGAGGACAAGGAGGGCCCTGGTGATGCGGGAGTGGAGGGGGCAGTTTGTGTGGAGGCTGATGCTATTGTGTTGGGCTGTCAGAGCCCCAGCCCCAGCCCCCTACCCAGATCCCCTGGAGCCCAAGAGGGAGGTGTGTGAGCTCAACCCGGATTGCGACGAACTGGCTGACCACATCGGCTTCCAAGAGGCCTACCGGCGCTTCTACGGCATAGCCTAGAGCCTGCAGCCCTGCAGCCCTGCCGGCGGCCCCCTGCCCTGGCTACTGTCCAGAACCCCTTCCCCTTCCCTCGCCCTGACCTCCCTGCCCTACAAGTGTGGGGTCACCATCTGCCCAGCTGCTCCAGAATAAACTCCAGAAGAGGAATTGGTGGCGTCTGACTCTTTATCTATGGAGGGTGGGGAGGTGCTGGGAGGGTGGGGAGAGGCAAGGGTGTTTTACCTCCTTCAGTCCCAAAAAGTGCTTCCCAAAGTCTGTTGACTTTTTTTATTTGTATCTGCCTCATTCCAGAAGCACTGAAGTTAGCTTCCTAAAGTCTAACTAGGATTCCCCCTCTGGCCCAGCACCCTCCCCGCCACCCCAACCCAGTGCACCATCCCTGACCCACCCAAACAGACCAGACGCCCAGAGCCGAACGTCTTGAGTACACGACTGTGACCAGAACAGACTCGTCACCATAGGCAAAGAGCTGCCAGCGGACAGCACTGCCTGGTTTGGGGGTGGGGGCAAGAGTGGGCCTCCTGACCTGGTTAACAGCATTCAGGGTAGGCCTAGGTTAGTCATGTTAGTTCTTCCTTGGGCTAAACAGACTTCCAGGAGCACCAGAAATGGGACTAGATGAAAGGGCCCCGACACCTCCCCATCCAGCCTCTGCCCGGGACACACACACCTCCCCTCTCAGACCCTCAGCACTTCCCCAGCCCCATCAAGAGCTCCCTCACTGACCCTCCTGCTCTCTGCCAGCCCCACCAGCTCCTCTCTGCCTTTTCTCCTCTGCACTCTCTCAGTCACGTTTGCTTCCAGGCTCCTATGTGCCCCACACCTTTTCAGGTCTGGGTCTGGGCTCCTCCCCAGCACCAAGGCCTCACTGTTGTTTGGCGTTAGCACCCCCCTCCGGCGGACCACCCTGCAGCAGGGGGCATGTACTAGGGGCCCGAAATAGGGAGGCTGTGAAGGCAGCAATGATGAGCAGGTTCCCCGCCACTGCCAAGCCCAGCGTGGCCACTGTGCCTGCCAGGCCCAGGGGGGGGTCCTGTGTGGCCAGCCAGGCTTGGCGAGACTCCATATCAGCCAGCACCGCTTCCAGCTGGAAGTGGGTGCCCAGCACTGCACAGACGTGGAAGAGCTGGTGGCTGTGGCCTGTGGGGAAGGTAGGCAGGTCAGGGCACATACCCATTCCCAGGGCTGCCCCAACTCACCCTCTGACCCATGGCAAGTCGCCCCATCATCTGGGCCTGCTACTACCCTAAACTTAGGAATAGGAAACCTGATTCCAAGAGTTCCTGGAAGGAGTGAATGAGCAGATGTGCATAAAACACGATGCCCAGCATACATGCGACTAGTTTTGCTGCTATTGGAGAAGCGGGGGGTGGGCCTGGACTCCGAGGACCCTCCAGTGCACTGTCTCCTGGCTGCATACGCCATTTACTCAGCTCAATCTCTGGGTTCTGGGAAGCTGTCTCCCTGGCCCTTTCCTCACCAGGCTGGGCCTGCTCTCACCAATGTAGTCAAAGCGTCCCGGTGCCAGCCGCTCAGGCAGGTGAGAGGCGAAGAGAAAACCAGTGAGCAGCGCGCACAACAGGTGGTAGCCATGATTGGTGCTTAGCGCCTCTTGCCCACAGCTGTGGCCCCTGCCCCAGCACAGTCCCAGCTGGCAAAGGAAAAGCAGGGCTGAGCAGGAGGGATTGGAGAGCGGACCCACATGTGTCTGGAATCTAGTTGGGGGGGTGGGGGGGGGCAGCCAGGCTGGGTGCTGGGCCTGGAGGGGAGGCAGCAGGGCTGAGGTGAGATTGAGGGCAGGACTGGAAGGGGCACTGAGAGGACAGGAAAACAGGGGCCTGACCAGGAGCCCTAAGCCCCCTTACCCGATAGAAGAGAGGAAGGTTGTCAAACAGGAAGGGGTAGGCGAAAGCGCCCGTACGGAGGATCTTACTGAGCCCAGGGCTTTCCAGCTCAGGGAACCTGGGAGGCAGGAGGGAAAGGCTGGTCACCATCCTGGTGCCAGGGTGGGAGTCAGAGGGGCGGGAGGCTCTGACCAAGATGGAATGTCAATGTAGCTTAGTGACACGTGACCCCTCTGTAAATGACCACATCTGTGAAGTGGGTGGCTGGAAGGATAAAGAAACGGCAGGTATGGTGCTAGCGCACAGGCTCCGACACAGCAATTCTCAATCAATGGTCCCGTAGCTCTTAATGATGTTCAAGAGCGACCCCAGGTGTGAGTGTGCTTGCGGCGCCCGGTCCTGTCCCTCCGCCTCCCCCTTCAACACTGGCCGAGAACCCACCGAGAGTAACAGGAGAGGCCGGTGCACAGGAAGGAATTGAGTGCGGCGGCGGGCACAAAGAGCTGGTGCAGGCGGCCGTGCAGCCAGGAGGCCGGCATGGAGTAGGCGGCGTAGGGGAAGGCGCAGCAAAAACGCCGCCACCCCCTCCCCCGACACACACCCCAACCCTGTAGTCCCACCCCTGCCCCCGCCTCCCGCGGGCTCACCCAGGCTGTAGAGGCTGAGCGCTCCGTAGTCCAGGAAGTAGCAGATGTGCCGCGCGCGGGGCGACATGGAGCTGAAGGTGTGCGCACAGCACGACGCGAAAGGATAGAGGCAGGTGGGCAACAGGAAAACCAGCAGCGGCCAGTGGTACGGCTCCGCCCGGAAGCCCGGGCCTCCCGCGAGCACGAGCAGACGCCACAGGAAATACCTGCGCGGCACGTGCTCAGGCGGCCGCGCAGTCCCGCAACTTCCGCCTTCCGCCTTCCGCCCGCGGCCGCCCGAGCACCCTCCCCCTGAGCGCAGAGCCTGGGACAGCCGCCCTCACCAGGTGGGCAGGAAGTGAGTCCAGATGTTGACAGTCTCGTTGGTCATCTGGAAGGAGCTGAGGACACAGTCCAAGGCCGAGCTGGTGGGGCGGCGGTAGCCAGACACGATGCCGTCTTCCCAGAACACCTGGGTGGGGGTGGGGGTCACTATGCTGGACCCTCTCTCTCCAGGAGAGAGCTTGCAGGATTGAAGAGAAAGCGCTGGAGGTCACCATGACCCCAAAGCCAGGCTAAATCTGACTTCCCTCTCATCACAGGTTCCAATACCCAGAAAGCAGATGAGACACAGAAGAGCCGGAAAGGGGACAAGATAGGATGGGAGAGTCGCTGGGCAGACAGGGTGCTCTGGGGGAGGGGACTCTAAACGCGCCTGCTCCTTAGAGAACAGGGTCTCCCGCTGGGATGGGAGGGTAAGAGCTAGCTTGCAGGAGGGACGTCCCCGATCGCTGAGAGAGAACCTCAGTCCCAGCAGTCCCCTGGGGAGTAGGAGTTGGCCAGTGTAGCCCCTCACCCGGGGGACCTGGTGGACTTGAAGGAGTTGGGGCAGCTTGAGACTGAGCATGGTGGCCTGCACCTCCACGTTGACCTAGAGACAGAGGGTTGGGGAGGAAATCAGGTATCTGCTCCCGTCCACGGACTCCTTATCACCCAGGTCCAGGCTGGGCCTGGTCACAGTGCCAGGGTAGCTGGCCTCAAGCTGCTTCCTTCAGGCCAGGAGGCGGGCCCAGCTTCCCTGACACCTCCCCGTCCTAGCCTGGGGGCATCCATTTTCCCCTTAACCCAGCTCAAAGTGGAGGGGCCTCCTCCCCAGCTGGAATACTGTCTCGGTAACCCCGACCCTGGGTCCCATCCCCCAGCCCTCCAGTTCCATCTCAGGAGAAGCCTAACTCATGGAGGTCAGTGCAGAGGCCCCAAGCCACCCTCCACCACCAGAAGCCCTTGGCCCAGTGTGCAGGCTGAGCACCCAGAATTCCTGGAGAGGCCAGATGCCGGGGCAGGGAATTAGGGGGATGCCTGGCTCTTCCCCGAGGACACCTGTGCCCCTGGACATTCAGGGTCTCTGTCCCCGAACCCCCTGCCCCTCAGCCCCAGACCTGTGCAATGCCTCCGGGTGGCCGTGGCTCTGCTGCCCGCCAGCCTCAGGCCGCCTCTCCCAGGCTCATTCCTTGGCACAATTGGTGGGGCTGGGCCAGCTAGGCGGATGGAACCACCCTAGGAGGAGGGAGAAGAGGACACTCCCCCCATCTCCCAGGGCCAAAACTTTCCAGCAACTCCACAACCTAGCCCCGCCCCTCTTCCTGCCACCAGCCTCACGGTTCACAGTGGGCCTCACACCAATCGGCCCCCAAAAGTGGGGGCTCCCTGCCCCTGACCTAAGGACTGGGCTGGGCACAAGACAGACCTGATCCCTAGTCCCTGCACCCTGGCTGAGCTTTATGATAGAGGCCTCAAAGGTACTCCTTGCCCAGGAGTAGGATGGGGGTGGTCTGACCCATCCTGAGTGCTGCCCAGTGGCCTGGGGGAGGGGTGGGAAAGCAGGATGCTGGCTGGGCTCTAGCTGCCCCAGGGGTCCTTCCCTTACCATAGGGTTTAGAAGTCTGTAGAGTGTGCTGTAGCCTTGGAGATGAGGGAGGGGGCTGGAGCTGGCCCTAATTCCCCAGAACGGTGACAGCCCCAGGTGAGCTTCCTTACCCAGAGCTTGACTGGAGCTCCTGAGCAGGTGGGTCAGCAGGCCCGGGTGCTCCTGCCAGCCAGGCCAACGGGAGGGAGGAGAGTGGCAGGCCAGCAGGCCAGGGGATGGGAGACAAAGGAGCCAGAAAACAATCCCAGCCTTGTCCAGCCTCCGGGAGCAGCGCAGGGTGGCCCAACCCCATTAGCAGGCAGCTCACTGGGCCTTCAGCACACAGCCAACCCCTCCAGCCTGACTCAGACCCACTGCGATCAGGACTGGCCCGAACAGGCTGGAGCCCTAGCCAGGATGCAGCCAGTGTGGCGCAGGCTCCCAGATCTGGCTGCGCCACCATTCCAGTCCTCCCAGGAGCTGAAGGTGGGCTCTGCCATAGGCCGGGCAGAGAATCCCAAATCCCGGTCTTGGAATCAGAAACCATCTCTCACTGTGCTTCACTGCCTCTGAGCACCTGGTGCTGGGCCGACTCCAGAGCAAATGCCTTTAGCAAATGTTGGTTCAACAAGGGATTTGCCAAGCTTACTCCCCAAAGACGCACTTAAGGTACCAGTCCTTGCAGAGGGATAGGGACTGAATCTGGCTTCAAGGTTCATCCCCTGCTCCCTTGAGGAAATTTCCCGATTCATAGGACCCAGCAAACAAGTCCCAGCAAACGTGGCCTTCAAAATCCTGTTTTCACCCATCACCCTTACAAAGGCACCAGCTGTTTACAGGATCAAGGAACTTGACAATGTCACTATGTCTGGAGCTTTTGCTGAAATTCCAAACTTCTTGCTTCAATGCATTCATTCACCTAGAAGAAATCTTTCCAAAATGCCATTTTTTAGCACGCCATCTCCAACATCCCAATAAAACTGCAGAAAGGCACCTGGAGACAGGGAGTGGGCTTCAGGGGTCTTTATTAAATGATGCTTTAGCCTCAGTCTGTCAGAGATTGGGAGGGGGGTGACCCTATCCCCCAGGCTGTCCCAGACTTGCTATCTTGGAGGCAGGAGGCAGGATGTCTGCTCTCCTCTGAGAACAGCCCGGGAAGCTAGGCTAGTGCTGGGGTGAGGGACAGCAGAGCTGAGATCCCCACCCTCAACCCCTGGGGGAGGGGCCAAGGCAATCCTGGCCAGTCACCCACCCACAGCCCCACTCTCGCTGCTCCCTTCACTGTCCTGAGCTATTCATGATCTCTGCTTCCACAGTCACCTCCACATCCCAAGAGCTAGTCCCATGCTCAGCCCCACCAGGCCTTCGGTCCTGGGGAAGGGCGAAGCAGGAAGCCCATCAGGATTTGGGCCCTGACTGGGCAGCTTCAGGAGGCCTCTCCTTTCTCTAGTCAAGGGGGTGGTGGCCTCAGACTGCATCCCCCTCTCCTTACTGGCATCCCACTGTTGCAGCACAGCAACCAAGAGCACAAAGCACGGTGACTGTGGGACTGGTGGGCACAAGAACCCCCCCTGGCGCACAGGCCAGACTGCCCACAGCTGGTGAGGCCTGCTCCCTCCCGGGAAGCTAGGCGGAGGGAGAGCAGAAGTGGGGAACTGGGTGTGCAGCCCCAGCAGCACGGGAGGGATGCAAGCCCGGCCCCCCTGCCAGTGCAGCCAGCTCCAGGCCCCTCTTCTTGAAGAGTCCCCAAAGCTCCAGAGCTGCCCAGGCCCCACAAGGGGAAATGAGAACGGGTGGTCTCTGAGGAGGGCAGGGTCTGCAGAAAACCACCCAGATACCTGGTGCTGCCTCCTCTTCCCCAGGACTGGAGGGCCAAACTCCTAGCCCAACCACCCCCCATCTTAGGTGAGGAAGGGCCTCTTCTGCATCCCTTCCCCTCAGAGGTCCAGGAATCACGCCAGTGAAACTCAGACACCCATGCCTGCCACCCGCCTCTGGGGACAGCAGGAGGGTTGAGGCAGGAAGGCTGACTAGGGGCCCACAGGCCTCTCCTGCTCCAAATACTTTCCTCACTTCCTGACGTCGTCTTGGCAACAGGGGGTGCCCACCCTCCCAGCTGGCTCCTGGGCCCTCCCTCAGCCTGTGTGCAGCTGGGCTTCCTTCCTGAGTGCGTGCGGGAGTCTGTGGTGGGGTGACTACAGGTGGTGGTCCCAGCAGCCAGAGAGGGCAGGAGAGATCTGGAGTCAGCCCCACTGCAGGGCTTGGGAATCAGTCTCAACCAATCTCCTTCCACTGCTTGTAGAAGTCCAGGACATTCTTGATGTCCACACTGGCATGTGCAGCGGCCTGCAGGGCTGCCTGCAAAGGGGAGCAAGAGAGATGGGTGAGCGTCTGACTCCTGAACTATGGGACAAGTCGCTGAGGGGAAGGGGTGATGGAAGAGGAAAAGGGCCACCGCCCGGGAGGTCTGAGGAGGGAGCCTCCTCCGGTACCTTTTCCCCATTCCAGGCCCCTCTCCTCACCCGCTAACCCACCTGCATAGGGCCCGAGAGCACGCTGGGGTTGTCCAGTGGAAGGCCTGTGATGATGGTCACCATGCCACCTGGGTCCTCCTCACCAGCCCCCTGGGCTAGAGTCAGTTGTTTGCAGCTGTCCAGGATCTTATAGAGGGTCCTGGTGGGGAGGAGAGGAAGGTAGGCCAAGCCCCGGCATTAGCACAGCCTAAACCAGGGGTGGGCAAACTTTTTGACTCGAGGGCCATAATGGGTTCTTAAACTGGACCGGAGGGCCGGAACAAAAGCATGGATGGAGTGTTTGTGGGAACTAATATAAATTCAAAGTAAACATCATTACATAAAAGGGTATGGTCTTTTTTTTTTTTTTTAGTTTTATTCTTTCCAACGGGCCCAGACCCGGCCCGGGGGCCGTAGTTTGCCGACGGCTGGCCTAAACCCCAGGATTTCCAGGGCACGGGAAGCTAGGGAGGGGAGGGCACCAGTAGGGAGCAACAGCAACCAGGCAGCCGAGGCAGGAGGAAGCTGGCACTGGAGGGTGTGCCATGGCGAGTGGGCAAAGGCGCACTGAGGACACCAAGCCTGAGCATCTCAAGGCCCCAGGGAATCGGGTGCTGGAGCAATTCCTTCCTCCAAGGGGACTTGCAGGAGGCCCGGGCTGGTCCTGCCACCTGTGCCAGAGCTCCTTGGCCCTGTCCTCTCTCCCAGGGAGTGGCAGAGGAGCGAAGCAGGCAGGCTACCTGAGGTTCTAGGGGGAGAGGCTGAGACTTTACCAGGCATCTGCATCCTGTCTCTTCAGCTTATGTCGCTCAAAGCTCTTCCCCACCTCTTTCTGGCAGCGAATGTACCTGCAAAGAACACAGGAGAGTGGAGGCAGGGGGCACAGGAGCAAGGGCACTGCACACAAAGCAGACCATTGTGGCTCAGGGGCCTAGCTCTACGGAGCAGGGAGGGGGCCCATCTCTCCCATCACAGGTCTGCTGGGAGCCATTTCGAAGTTTCCTGGCCGCTGGCTCGCTTTTCTTCCTGATAACATCAATTGCTCGGTTCCTCCCAGTTGGGGGAGTTGGGAGGGGAGAAATAGCAGATGCTTTTCAAGTCAGGGCTTCTGGAGACAAGGTCCAAACAAGTAGGCTTTGTACAGCTTCCTGGCAGATGTGGGGTGGGGTTTGGGGGGTGTCAGCTAGCAGGGAGGCCAGAAGGAAAGGCCTGTGTGGGCCGAGCACCTACATGCTGCGGTCTGATCGTCACGGCTTCAGTGGGAGGTGGGAAGCCCCAGGCAGCCCCAATGAGCACTGCCACCCTAGCAAACCTGGGCACAGTCCCAACCCTGAGAGCAGGAGAAACGCTTGCAACGGTGCCCACAGCCTGGAGCTGGGGTTTGCTCCCTTCTCCCCGGAGATGCTGATCTCATGTTCGCCCCAGAGGCAAATGGACAGCAGGTCAGTGCTTCCCCCCACAGCTCCTGGCCCCCAATCACTCTCTATTTCAGCACCTAAGACCTTGACTTATTAGGTCTTTGGTTTTCCCTCCCCAGCAGTGAGCAAACTGTGCACAGGGACTGCAAGTGTGTGTTTTATCCACAAGTAACACACACGCATTTGTTGTCTGAGAGACGCATCCGGGCTCAGCACCGGTCCAGCAGGCCTGCACTCACCTGTTTCCTTTTTTAAACTCTGCCTGCAGGGACTGCAAGTGTGTGTTTTATCCACAGTAACACACACGCATTTGTTGTCTGAGACGCATCCGGGCTCAGCACCGGTCCAGCGGGCCTGCACTCACCTGTTTCCTTTTTTAAACTCTGCCTCTAGGTATCGGATCCCATCCCGGGCCCCTGGGTGTTCCTTCTTCAGCAAATCCAGGCCATCAATCACTAGTGGGCAAGGCGGGGGGCGGAGACAAAACAGATGAACTCAGAGTGTGTGACACGGGGCTCTGCAGGCAGTGGCTGAGCTCCTCCAGCACACACTGCGGGAAAAGAAGGGATGGACCGTGGCTCCGACGGCTCCTGAAGTCCTTCAAAAGTATGACCTTCTGCCAGTCATGGACTTGGCAATTTACCAATTGCTTTCACTTAGATATTCTCCTCTGTTTCTCCCAACCATCTTGTGAGTCAGGATTTAAGAGATCATGCCCATTTCACAGATGAAATGACTGAGGTTCAGAGTTGAAAGCACTTGACCAAGGCCACTGTGTATAAACTGGGCTCCAAATAAAGGTCTCTCAATCCCAAGCCCAGAGTTTATTTTAGCCACCTTCTATCTGTCCTCCCACCTCCCCAGTATGCTCACCTGTCCTTGGGATGATGACAATGAAGCGGCCACTGGTGGCCAGCTGGCGGATGATGGGGAGGTGGTGGCAGAGGGCCTGGGTGTCAGGGACGAGGTAGGGTGACATTGCTGACTGGGCCTTGGGCTGCTGTAGGCTCCCTTCCAGCTGAGAGACCTCGAGCTGGTGAGAGAAGGCATAGTGGGTGGAGCTGTGTGGGCTCCGCAGCCTGGCAGGGGGAAAATGGTTCTCAAAGGGGCTCTTATAGGGCTCCTCCTGCTGCCCCAGGGACAGGGGACTCCTTCTACCAATGACCTTGGAGGAAAAGTAGACAGAAACAGGGTTAAAGTAAAGAGAAAGAGAAGAAAAAGAGGCAGAAGTGAAAGCAGCCAGACGGCAAGGCGCTGTGGAGAATGGGCTTCGGGAGGCGATCTGGGAGGCCAGGAAGGGAGTAATCTGGGCAAAGTGGGGGGCCCCAGGGGAGCAGGGGGGCTGCAGCTGGAGGGGTGAGGACCTGCCAACGGGCTGTAGGCAATAACCAGATCAGGAGGAGGAGGAGCACCTGAAGTCGCAGCTGGGC